GTGCCGATTAGAAATCAATTTATCGATTGTTTCACTGGCGTAGCTAAGACGGACAGCTACGGTTGCGACGAGCACTAAGGCTGTCACATCACTCGTGTTGGAACGTGATGTTTGAAACGTTTTACACCTGTCAATTCCGAGCATTCAGTTTCAGAGGGATTTGCTTCAATTCAGTAATCAAAGTTAGACAACTTTATAACGTTTTATACTGTATGACCAAGATTATCAGAGGCGAATGGAAAGCAGACAGCACTTTTTCACTAAACTTCCTATTTGGGTGAGAGTAATAAAGGCAGCAAAGCACGTTTGAGTGAAGAAAGTTGGATTAGAAGAAACGGTGGATCTTTTCCAGATAAACCCTGCCAAAAATTAACCCCCGCCACCCAAAAAAATTAAAAAAAGAGGATGTGAAATTTGTACTTTAGTTTTTCTTGCAGAGGGTGAAATCGGGACATATCATTAACAATTTGCATGAAAAGGTCCATTTTCCGATACCTTTGTCTCCAAACGAACTCGCACAAGTAGCTGTCCACTAAATACGGGTGTGTGCCGTATTGGCGTCTATTCTGCATCCTGTAGACGTGCCAAAGATATTCGATGGTTTGTGCGTGAGCTCCAGTCGTTGGATCCACAGTTTTCCGTATGATTAACCGTTTCATGAGTACAATTGGATCCTTTTCAGATAAACCTCGCCAAAAATTAACCTCCGCCACCCAAAAAAAGATTAGAAAAAGAGGGTATGAAATTCGTACTTTTGGTTTTCATTGAGGAGGGTGAAACTGGGACATGTCATCCGAAATTGTTTGTAGCCTGCACTATTAGCAAGATCTACCTGAATGCATATCTCTCCGTGGTCTTTTGGATAGGTTTTCATCTCCGCCATATGAATACTGTGTATTTATCCATCAGAACCATGTATACGGCTTAGCTTATCCAGCGAAACAGGTTTTATGTGGTTGTATGGCATGTGAACCACTTAGTAGCTTTCTGACAGGGATGTCCGAGAGGTTACTGTAAGCTAGAAGATGCTATTTCCTCACAGAATAATTAGTTGATTCCAGTCATCTACAGGATAACGTCATGTTGATAAATAATTTATTATGCATTCGCCTTAGCACCACAAAGCAGGGTACTACTGATTGTTTTGAACAAAACCTCCTCCTTCCCTGTTGACCCACATGTTACCAATGATATAACTTGTTTCATCTTTGCTGTATTTTCTTCACCGCTTAGATAGATGCCCACAAAAGTTCGATATGTGCAGTCAAATAAAATAGTTTATCACCAACTTTCTAATATACACTGTTAAGTCTATGCTTACTTTTCGCTGTTTGGTGACAAAAAAATCGAGGTTCGCGCAATCAGGCAAGGAGATCCATATGATAACTCATTGGAGATGCCCCATTCAGCACATCTGATGCTTCCGCCAAAAAAGTCCCCAGTTAGTGCCCCACATCCTTATTTCGCATATTTCCCCAGATCGAGCTCAGCCAAGCTCAACGATGATTGCATATTCGGCCTCTGCAATTTGGCGCATGTTTTCGTAGATTTATACATCTTCCTAACTGGATTCGCCTCCTTCCCGCTCTCGGGCCGGGGGAGGAAAATCTCCCGACAAACTCTTTTTTGCCTGCACACGAGTTTCAAAGACAGCCACCATATTATAGTTCATATCTCGAGTTCTTGGGAACGCTGACGGGTGAGGTTGATCCATTGGATGAGTGTGTTAAGTACATTCAGTTCTGACTGAAGGATACCTGTACTTCCTGAGCCATTTTTAATGAAAAGTACTGGGCCGCTGTATTTGTGGTTGGGACCGCCAGGATCCATCAGCGTTAGAATTTTCGCATTGTTGTCCGATTCCTTCCGGAATCGGTGACATACTACTCATGTTTGAAAAATTTCAACCGCAGCACAGTAAGCCAAATGTTAACTAGAAGATGCTCGTAACCGGACGTCGAAGACGATGCGTTCACAACCGGAATATCGTTAGCCTGTTGGCTTGGACTGTCAGACTATAATCACACAACGCACCTTCTGTTTGTTTGCTTGCTACTCTGCGGTGACCGTGTATCTGAAGCAAATACTCCTGTGGTAACGGTGAACTAATGATCGGGGAGGCATTCGAGTAGTATGTTTTCCTGTAAATTCGCTTTGCGTCTCTTGAAAAGTGAGATCTATCGCTGAATTTGTGGAGTCACTTTGTAGCATTTGCTTGCATGTCAGCAACAGTCAATGAATATCCGGGCAAGTTCAGAAAGACGCGTTCAAACAAGATGCATATGAGAGTTTTAATCCACTGTCCAATAGTCTGTAACGGTTAAGTTGAAATTTTCTAATAAACAACTCCGCAGCGAAGGCCTTCTTCCTTTCGCTGTTATTCCACAATGACACACCCCTTTTCGGTATCAAGTTTGCTTTCAATGTTTGTTTCTTTAACCCAAAACCCTCTAGAATGTAGGACTCCAGCTGATCCCATCGGCTCGTGTTGTATAGAGGGTTGATTGTAGAAATATGTATTCCTTAGGCAAAAATCTTGAATATACTTTCCCACCTTCACTTCTAGTCTGTGCGTAAAAAGCGTGTGGGAGATTATGTACCAAAGACGAATTTGGTGGGTTTGAAATCCCAGGACGGTCGTAACTAATCGATATCCTCAGAAACTTATCGGCGACTGAGCTGAGACTGTGGCATTGCACGCTATCAAAAATCTATATCTTCCCAGTGTTTCTTCGCTCCCTAAGATAAAAGACCCTCTGTGTTTTCATTAATGGTGATACTATTTCTCAGAATTCGTTACTGTGCTAGCAGTGTTTTTCGGTCGGCCTAGATACGAAAGACGAAAGTCACATAAATGCCTGCAGTACTATCTATGTTATCCGGCTATGCCACAGGCTTTTATGAACGACAAACAGGCAGGCACATCTTGTTCGGTACACTGGTGTGTCACATCTCCACTTATCCCAGGTCCTTAAACTTTTGAGCATGCACTGCGGTCGACATTACCGATTCTTTCAACTAATACCACATTCAGAGAGCGGATACACCCTCATTTGATGGGACAATTTGGCATCCCAGTAGGCTTTTCCTCCCGGTGGAAGTGGTATATTTTCGGGGAAAAAGGGAGTTCAATAAAGTCATGATAATGGTGCGTACTGGAACGTTTAGGAACCAAACTGGTACAAAAATCTGTCTATTTTTTTCGCAAGTCTGCACCATTAAGGCCTATTCAATATCAGCTTATCCCTCCTTAGATTCTTTCTACTATGTTCCAGTGACTGCGGACGTTTTGTCACCAACGTAGGTGGCATTATCAGTGCGTCGTACGTTAGCAGCACGTGCGTGCGTAGGCGTTTGAGCATGATTTGAAGTAGACCACGGTTGAATCTAACTTGACCTCATGCAGATTTCCCCCATTCATTTGCTTACTTCGCCATGTACTTTTGATTCTCCACTTATCTGTACCTGCCACTCACTTCGCCGCAAAGACCGTCTCGTCTGACATTTGTATATTACCATGTGTCTGGGTGTGACTGTGCGCGTTCGTGTCCCGTTTGCTGAGCCTGCATTGATCTGTTTTCTCATGGGTTCCGTATGGTCGTGTGTGGGAACTCGTTGACAGCTCAAGACCGGTTTCGCCCTATACGGAGCTCATTAGATAGATGTGGCCTCCGTATTTCTATCAACCCCATTTCCCGCTTAGATGCCAAATTGTACCCGTGAAGTTTCGCACCCGTTTTCGGATTAACGGATGACTCAACCGAATATCATCTGCAGGCCTCGTTTAGAATGGCCCTTAGTGGGATGTGTCGCTCAGAGGCCGCCACTTGTTTTAATCAGATCGATATTTGAGATTCTGAAATATCTTGACGTCACATTACTAACAAGGTTGCTGAAAACTCTGACAGCCCAAGACTGCCTTGGACAAGTCAGGCAGGCGCTGTCTCCAGGTTTCCATCAGGTGTTGACCTTTATTGGAAAGTACTATTCGCGACCGCGCAGGATATGGGAACTAGACCTGAGCACTGAATCTCAATAAATACTCCAAAATTGTTCGGAGATCGGACTTCTATGCCTCCTGGGTGTCAAAGGAGGCGTATACAGTACGGGCTGTATTGCTGTAAAGTTGCGAGACGTGGCCACTTCGGACGGAGGATATATCTTGGGGTCTTTGACCACCAATGTCTCAAAACTATGGCTAGAACCGAAAAATGGGCAATGATGTGATCGAGTGTTTACCGAAAGAAAACGCACTTCAACCGCACTCAGCAGTGGAAGCTAAGGGGATGTGTTACGCACGCCGACTTACTGGTCGTCAACATGAGCGCTGTTTACCGTGCCTAATTCGGAGTGGCAGAAACTTAGGGATAAACAGCATCTGACATGGCAAAAGGGAATGAAGGATGCTATGAGAAGTCTGGGAATTGCTCGCTTTCTAGGATGAGGTGCACGTGAACCTCTGCGTGCCTGTATGGAAACGTTGAGCAATATAGTGGATATCCGACTTCAGTGGCGTTCAGTAGCTGGTTGAGTGTTAGAGGTGTAGAAAACTGGGATGTTTATGGTAAGCTGGCAAAGGCTCTCTTAATACCTCGTTTCTGGGCTTTGATCAAATAAATTGGTGTGGTTTTACAGCAATGAAGTTTTCCTGTTCTCTTCTGGTGTTGCTCAGTGATGATGAGGGCAACTGATGCTCGACAAGCAGCTGCTTTCGGGGGGGGGTGTATGCTCACTGGATGAATGGGCACTTCTTTCTGCAGTCAAGATCTACTTTGCTGAGGGTGATTCAAGCAGTAGCGGAGATTTGGACAACGGAACAAACGACGACTAAAACTGACTATCCAGCTTGCCATGAAAAGTAGAAATTTCACAATTCGCTACTGACTGTTTGAAATAGCCCCGAAGAGAAGCCAACCACCACGGTGATCTCTGTTCGAAGAAGTTATAGCAAGCTTTCAGACCCGACCCCAAACCTGAAAGGCACTGCAAGACACGGGCTAGTTCTCACAGGACTGCCATGTTTTAATTTTGGTTCGTGGTTTGTCAAGATAAACAATACAACTCGGAAAGGGACACAAAAAAGGGATGGATAGAAACGGGGGGGGGGAGAAGCCAAGGACAAATATAAACCACCAAAAACTAGGTCTTAACTGGTGTAGCTTACGGATACACAGGCGAGCGACTGGCACACTAAAGAGACGATGAAGAAGTGTGGGACCGATTAGACTTCGTCAGAGACATGTGTGATATTTGTGAAGGACAAACGACTGGTACGGAGCAACCAGCGCTACGAATTTTCGCACACAGGAACATCAGCTGTAGCCACACCCCAAAGACTGTGAAGATATCACTTGTCAGGGAGATGAGAAGGAGACAAGAGGGAATACAACGACTAGATAAAGCAGGGTGACACACGGATGTTCTTGTATGCTCCTTAAAAACAAGCCGAACAGAAAGGTAATACGAGAACCCAAAGAGCTTGTCATGATCAGATAAAAGGAAAGAATGGGTCCGCCGAGCGGAACACAAATGAACGGGGATCGAAGAGGAAGGGTTGAAGGTGCTGGTGGTGAACGAACTAAACATGGAAACAGATACACGAAGTTACACAAGCCCGACACACTGAGTTGAAGAAACGTGAGAGAAAAGCTGCAACAAAATCTGTTAAATCGGAATACAGCACAAGTGCGAGATAAACCACGGCAGACCACTGAGTTGGTGGCGCATGCAGCGAACATAACGGAACATAAGCAATAGTATTGGTATTAGTCGTGTATAATATTGGGACGCGGTTTATGGAGCCGACTACCGTACATGGAGGCTACATGGCAGAATTTCGGTCGCTAAGTGAATGCCCTGATTGTAAATGCCCAAAGCCATCCGCATCCAAATTTTTTCCGGTAACGCGATCGTCGGCGGTTGGCTGAAGAGATGTGGAGCCATCCGTTGCGCTGCCATCCGATTTGAGAACTGAAGTGTCCAGCACGTTCAGACCCATGAGGTTCAATTCGTTCGTATCCATTAAGTCGACGTCGTCGTAGGTTCCTCGAAGCCGATACGAATGTGGTGCTCGTGTGGTGGCGTTCATTTGGACAATGCTGGTTGCATCTGGATGTGGATACAACATACTGGCATCGGTAGTTGTGTTTGCAGAGAAACTGTCGGCGGCCATCCGTCGTCCTGGATGAACGAAAGAACCACTATCGGAAGAGGAACCAAAGAGTGACAACGACTCGATTAAACGATTCACTGACGACGAAGCACATGGACTGGAACTTTGCCCACCTATATCCAGACAGACAGGGGAATGAAACAAGTCCGACTGCATACTTCCAGGTGCATTGACAATTACTTCCAAAGGACGATTGGTAGGATGAGAGGAAGAAAAGGGATGAGGGTCAGAAGCAACAGTGGAAGGGTGCATTAAAGTTGGATTGACACTGTTGTGAATTAGTCCGGGAGGTGGCACTAAGAACGGGGGAGGGGAAGATGCTGGTGCTGCACTCCCCACAGGCAAAGGTCTGGTCCCGGAACCAGGGTAAGGAGAAACACTAGATTTGAATCGATTATGCTGTGGATATGAGGACAAATCAAAATGCGAGGAGTTAAAGTGTGTATGGTTGGTCGAACTCCGAGGAGACTGGCGAGTGTATGACGGTGCTTGGCTTGACTGTGTCGATGAGTAGACGTGGTTGACAGTAGCACTATCAGCAGCAGATAGAAAAGTCCGGTTGCTGAAGGTGTGGTACATCCGGCCACCACCGTTCGTCATCGGAGAGTGTGGAGTGGTTTCCATGGTGGTTACCGTAGTGGAGTTGATTCGGGACAGATTACGCAACCCCATGCTATCAACAAAACCTGGAATGGATAAAGGGTAGTTTAAAGTAAGCACCATACAGACGGAATATTTGTAAACGAGACCGCTTACGAAACTAGCCACTGATTCTCAAGGACTCGGCAGTTACCGGATCATGGTCTTGAAAATTGGCTGGGTATTTCGAATAATATGCGGTTGAATCTAGACAACCTCGGTTGCAAGAGGCTCTTCACCACTTAGTGGACTAAATTAACTAGCTAAACCCTGCCTGGCTCTCAGGCCGGTAGTCCCAAATTGCCTGCCAGCCCACATCCTGACAATCAACACACGTGTTGATTCACAAACAGATGTCAAAAAGATAGTTTATGTATCTAAATTTAGTTGACTACTGACCAAAAAAGTCACATGACCGATTTTGTCGTCGTTTGCTATTGCTTTTAATACATATCCGCCTTTCCAATCCCCTCAGCTAAAAGTCCACTCACAAACCTGTATACCGCTGTACGATGAGTGCGCGGTTCTCACAACTGATAATGCTGATGACATCGTGTAACTGGACTTTGGGATGAACCATATACTGCTGGAAGCAAAGTTCGCTCACAGCTCAGTACATAGAATCTACTGAGGAGACACTGAAAGGATCATGTGATTAAAAATCAAAACCTATGAATCAGCTTTGAGTGGTGGTTCGGGGGGATATTGATTGTCTATTTGAGGACATAGGATAGAACAATAACGGGGCTTCTCAGCCCGTAACCATACATAGTCGCGTCACCATTCCGTTTGGTAAATCAGGTATCAACGTCTTCAGGAGCTACAGTATGGAGTTGGTAAACATAATTGTTTTTGTTGGTAGTATATGTGCAGAAACGGACAAAGCACCAAAAGTATCATCTCACGCAATCTAGAAGCACCACCTTAGGGCGTTCAAAGTGCCTGGCAGAATATGAAGCAGACTTGTTGGACGGATGAGGACGGTCTTCATGGGGATTGGAAAAAAACGTATTGCCTAGCAATTGAAGCATCGGTGTTGAACACTGATGTCATGCTGTCGATGATGATGATGCTCAGTTGTGTTTGGCGAGCAACTTTACCGCAATGAATTCCGAGCATCATTCAACTTTGTTTGCTAGGAGGGGGATGTGCGACACAGTAGCACTCACAACGCCAAGGAAACATCAGCCACGTGAACGGGATGGTCGTGAAACCTGTTATCGGTCATTGCTTAGTGACCGGTAACACTGCTATTCAGGTTACTCAGTAACTGCATATCAACTCGGTTGCGTATTAATGTGTCCCTCTCATACGGCGTAGTGGTTATTGTAAGAACGTCCTAACTGTTGCCCAACGTTGAGTGTCGCACTAAGTTTATTGCAAATTAAGATAGCATATTCAGGCAGATATAAAAGACACTCGAAGTTTACGAAAGAAAAGCGATGCACCAAACGTTGACGGAGCATGTGCTAACCTTCCTTAATAACGGGTCTATGGTAACGATTTTGGAATACAAACAGCTCATTACCAATCAGAATGGGAATAGAAAAATATGGGTTGGGAAAGCTAAGACACAGAGAATGCTGCTTTGACTCACTTGAGCCGTACGTTGACGTTGGGTATTCCAGCGAGGACCCAAAGTAACCAGAAGTGGAACTGCTACTCAAACCGTTGGCGGGAGTATGCGCCGACCTTCCGTCTGAAAAACTATGGTCATCGGGTGGGGACTTGCGTAAATTATGCTGCCCCTTAGCAGTTGCCGAAGCGACTGAATTCGTATAACGGGGTAACATGTCAGAAGAAAACACGCTGTAACCACCCTGCTCGCTTGAATTAGTCTCCAATGGGAGATGTGAGGCGCTTGATAGGTGTTTTGAGGCTACGTTGATCATATTCACGTATTCATAAAGATGTGGGGTTAGAGACTCCAGCCGCATGTTCAACTCGACGATTTGGAATTCCTTTTTCGTCAAAGAGGCTTCGCGTGTAAAGAATTAATAAAACCAAACGAAACGCATGAGTAAGTGTACAGAGAAATTTCATGGTCCAATTTATATATGAAATTTGATAGTTTCATAGCGTTTCCTACGATATCGTCATCAATCTTAAAACATGCATGAGGCGTATATTGCTTCCGACAAATGCAGCGTTGTATGCTACTGAAGAACGGACTGATAAAAGAGACGGCTACATGTAAAAAACCGTCCAGATGTAACACACATCCGATGCATGGTTGCCATGCCACCCGGGAGAAGCAAGAGGCCTCAGATATTGCCAGGCTTCCCAAGATTAGGTAGCAGCAGCCGAGATACAGAGGTCGGGTGGTTCGAATCATGAATCTTCCGGTCGGTAAGTCCGCGCCTTAGCCACTGAGCTATCTCGCCTGCATACTGAAGAGGATGATTGTGTGCCGTAACTGTGCGAATGATGGCATACTGGTTAAGGGGATATTTTGTGATCGATGCAAGCGGTGCAAGCTCGAATATGGCAGCGTCTGTAACAATCGAAGTTGCGTGACATGTGTCAACGCAATAGCGTCTGCCGGGAATCGTGTTTATGATGAGTAATTAGTAGTCATTGTCTGATCTGAGTCAGACCGTATCCATTCGGTACATCGGGTCCTGAAAGGTAGATAGTCTTTTGGCATGCAAAACATCAGATGACAAAATCTGAGAACGGATGCAAGCCTAGTCCTGGTAATCCGGATGCGAGCAGTACTTCAAAAACCGTATAGTTAAACGCAGATTTCTGCTTACAGCGGTCAGGTTCCATAATCAGATAATAATATGGCGGACATTGCAGGATTACAAATGTTATCTTTGACAGACAGGACGATGACAGGTAGACAATAAAGAGCAGCTTTGACTTTGAGTGGTTGAAGGGAAATTTCATCTTCGGCTAAACTACCAGGAGCAAAACGAATGATTACGTGTATGGACTAGTCAGTTAGATCGAAGGGACGAGGGGGGAGCCTTGGCTTACAAAAATGGATATGGTAAACCTAAGAAAAGGCTTTTCATAGACCTCTATCAGACCACCATTATAAGGTTCAAGAGTTAAGATGAGCAAGTGTTAGAAAGACTCATGACTTCTGCACTTAGCGAGATAGAAAGCCTACAATGGAAAAAAGGTAACCACCGTTGGACATCGATGACAAGCACATTGTACGAGAGACTGTGTAAGGATGAGTACATAGACTAAACACCCTTATACAGGGAAAAGTCAGGTGAGTTTTCAAGAATCTATTTCTATCAGTACTTTATGATCCTGATACTCCCTGATTGCTCTCTCCGGAAAGCAACTTATTTGACAACTTCATGCCTTCAGCGTTCGTTTCTACTGTCCGACAAGAATGGTTGGAAAATGGGACTGGAGCGAACATCCATTCGATGAGCTTCCCAACAACCCCTACCAAATCAGCCTGGTTCGAGCGATTGGGGACTTCGACTCTAAACTACAAAACTTTGCATATGCAGTTCGTAGTAACGCGCAGTGGTGGTTAAAAATTCTGCGAGTGACAGGACATTGCGCTTAGATTAATAGAGACGGCCAGATGTCTTGCGTGGTGAAATTTCGACCGGTTACCATTGTTTTTAATCGAAAATGACTCCGTGTTGTTGAGCACAAAAACTCCATCAACTTAGCTTATGATGGATAGAGTGAACATTAGTAAACAATGCGATTCCTTCAGGTGGTATGGCAGCTAGGCACCCCCGAGATGTTACAGCTAAAAGATATATACTACCCACATAAACCAAAAAAACCCACAAAGATCTCACCACTACCGATCAATCCAACAGTTTAACTGCTAATTCGGATCTGCACGATACCAAAAATCAGTGAGATCACAGAAGGCTGCCCAGTAAGACGAACGAACTCCCCTTCGCTTTTTAGCAGATGGACTCGTCAAGATCATCCACCGTAGCATAATTATTGTTTGATATGCAAAAAGCTGCTTGCATGTCCATTCCTTCACCAACATTTCAGTATTGTCGAAACGATCAGCTGGGCTGGCTCCAGGATCCGTTGTATAGTTCAGCGCCTCGCATCCACTCTCGTGATTAAGTAGGTTTGCAATCGGTACTTCAAAACTTCTTTGGCATTTCTAGGTTGGTAGAGGCGATGGGCCCCTAAAACTAGTCGACTCACTTTCAATTTATCCATTGTTCTATTGTGATGAGCTTGATGAAGTCAGAACTTCCCCATGGAAGGGGGTCAAATTAGGCTTGTGTGCATTCATAACACTGCTCTTATGAGAAAAAATAAAAAAAATAATAATAATAAAATAATAGCGCTAACAAATGACATGCTGCCGGTATTTTCTTCCCTGATGCATTCACATAGTATGCTCAAAAATGTGTGTGTGTCTGAGTGACCGGGTTCGAGCCTTAGTTGCACTTAGTGGTTTTCGGAACTCGACAGGTCTATGCACACATCCCATGTAAGCTCTTCATACGTTTTCACAAACAATTTAGTTTAGCTAGGCATTTTGGCGTGTTCGGGAGCCATGCTTACCCGGGTCAAATTGACCAGAGAGGAGTAGTCGGCATACATAGTCCCCATATTGTTGTGGTTCTAGGGATTATTCTGATTAGTCCACATGAAAGCGAAAACAGTGGATTCCATTTATGCCCCTAATGAAGCTTACTGGCATTGTATGGCTTCAGCTAAACACGAGTCGTCTGGGATTAGAGGCAAAAACATCATTCCGTTACTACGTCAACACTACCCGAAAATAGTTTGAATACCACATGTGAATGCGACCGAAATTCCAATCCAGTACCTCAGGACTAACCGAAATAGCCGTACTCAGAAAGAAGAGAAAGTAGTATACAAATGAAAAAGGTGTGAATACAGATCTAAAAGAGAGCAGTACCATAGAAGAAAATTTTGGCTCTGTTGTTCAATTTCAAGGCAAAGTCAAAGGTAACAGACTCTTCGCCATCACGACAGTGACCTATTGCAGTAGAACTGCCGCAACCATGCGATATTGTGAAACACTGGTCGGAAAGAAGGCATTGAAAAGTCCCAAAATTGGAAGCGTCCTGTTTCTAGTGAAGTCTCATAGCATAAAAAAAAATCGAAAGTTGAACATTCTGGACACAGGAACAATGAACTCCGGACATCTGGGTATCCAACTGGAATCGACAATTATGGGCAAAAAGTTAACAGAGCACTGTAAATTCGAAGACCACTACGTGAATCATACCATTTAACTCCGTTATCTCTTTCAGTGACGCATGGTATGCGGTCAGAAGCTCTTGTTTCATCTTGTCCTCATCCTTCAAGGTGTCTGTCATACGTTGATTCTCCTCTTGTAAATGAGCCAAATGAGACAACAGTTCCTCACGTTCTGCGCTATCGTCTTGCAAACGGTTTGTCATTGAGCCTTTTTTACCACATGTTGTTGAGTCCGATCCATTAACTCCATGTGCCGCCCGGGACTCTTTGAGCGTGGCCAATTGGGCTTCACGATCTGACAGGTCCCGTTTCAAAGTACGCAGTTCAGCTTCGAGCTCTTTCACACGGGTGGCACAGGAATCAGTCGCAGTGCAAGAAGCAGTAGTCTGAGTGAAAGTAGTGGCTACTGTGCTGGATGAACCAGCAAGAGCGCTGCTGCTGCTGTTGTTGTTCGCACCAGGAGAAGACGTGTTGCGAGGTGGAGCCGTGGTTGATCTACAATAGATGAAAATTAAGGTATGCTGATGGTGATTTTACCATAACATTCTATGTACGCTAACATTAAATTAAGGCTCGGGTGAATTTTATCATCATCGATAGCATGACAACAGTGTTCAACACCGATGCTTCACCGCCGTACAACATGGGTGAATTTCAAATCGATTCAAACTAATGTTGGTTGAATTGTTTGGGGTCAGTTTCGCTAACAACCGCGTTGACATCAGTACGTATTAGGATAGCTGCACAGCGAAATATCGCTACCCAACAATGCACTAATGTCACGTCGATTACCGACTAAAAAACGGCAGCGAAATCGCAACACTCAGCCACATAACTGAATCAGTAGTAGCGAGGTCGGTTGGTTGACGGCCTTGACTGAGTACAACGAAGCAATTTTGTCGGTTTGCATACACATATGTAAAAATTTCCAACAAAAGAGTTATTCATCAGTCATCATCCCAGAGCACAAGATAGAGGTAAGGAGCAGCCGCACGCTTAGCGGCTGAATCAGAAGGGTTCAGGAGGAACCGAATGCCAGATTTAAATACACCAAATGCCTGTAACGCGTCCTTGGGACACTGAATAAATCATTTTGGTGCAAACTATTTATCCATAGCCTTTATTTTTTACGACACTTGTGTGTTGGGCCCGATTACTCAAGTAACAACCACACAACAACGCCTACACCTCCGAAATAACACAAATGTACTGGTAAGTAATGTGATAGACTAGCCACTATGGAAATGTTTCTGATTACAAAGACCAACTTCCAAACGGCCAAAATGGTTGATGTAAAAAGAAAGCGCAACGTACTTCGCGCATGAAGTCTTGCTCGCGGTTTGCGACGGAGTATCATCAGTGGATGTATCTTTGGGTGATTTGTGGGCATTTTGACGAGACTGCTGTTGGGCTGATAGCCTTTGCTCCAATGCAACACGTTGTTTTCGCTCTTCAAGAAGACGCTCTTCTGTGCTGCGCAAATTGGCTCGATCCGTCTGGACAGTTGGTGAAAAAAGGAGAAGAGGTATATTCTTAGAGAGTAAGATGACTGAAAGCTGCTACAAAAATCGAAAATCGACGGCTGTGGTTTAGCTTCAAATGTTTACGCTAAAACAACTATGCACACTAGTTCGGCTCTGTATGGTGACCAATCCGCTATATCTTGACGCGATTTCTTTCGTTAGAAATCACAAGAATAAATGCTGCATAGTTCAATTGTTCCTGAACTTAGTCTGTCGGAGTATGGTCCTAAACTTCCAGCATTAGGTCAAGTTGGCTGACCCTAACAGGCACGATATCTTCCATGATAAAACATCCATGTGAGAGGGACCAGGCTGAAGTAACTGGGTCAATTAGTCATTGAGACGTCATGAAAAAAGGTTTCCAGTAAATAGATACCAGAAAGGAAAGGAAAATAACTTTGAAGCGCAGACAAGATGATGGTTTCAACTGCATCAAATGAAATTGTCATAGGAATGAGGGGTCAATGGGACGGGACTACGGCATTACCTGAATTCCATATAACAACAAACAGAAAGAAAGCGATTTTAGCGTGAACTTTAGAGTCAGCGGGACGAAGCGAGCATCGGTGTTTGAAGAATAATTTGAAAGCGTATGTGGCCCGGACTGCCGAGTTAACCTGAGAAATTGTGGTCAACGGTAATAGGCGGCTTTTGGACCTACCAGTCCCTAAGAACGGGTCTAAGAACATGTCAGGGAGATAGTGTTGGTGAGAAGGGAGAATTGAACCAATGTGAAAGTAAAACAAGGGGTCAGCAGTAAGGCGACCAGTCTGATGGAACCACGCGACGGTTTGACGAACACGGCACGTGGCCATCTGTAACTGCGATTCATGGGCTGGAATACTGCCGGCGCGCCCAGGCCTAGACGGGGGGACGATTAGGGCTCTCAATCAAAGCCTTCAGTTAAGAGCCTAACTGCAAGGCTGTTATTGTTGGCCTATTAATTCAACGGTAGGCTAAATGTTTAAACAGCAATTCCCAGCCCCCAACCTGGGGGATCAGGAAACTGCTGTTGAGTCTCTATCCAGTGACCAATATGGCACGAGAGGCTCGGAAGGTGCTACACGTACACCTCTCAGTGTAACTCAAAGGGTTATGGAAGCGGCAAACCACTGCATTCCGATAAAGCCTAGTCTCTTTGCTGCTCCGTCCTGCTGTACGAATGCGAGAGCCAAAGATGTTTGACAGCTTGAAATGTTTGAAGCTAGAAAAGTATCCATGGGACGTCAGTGTCTATTTTTTCTTGAAATACACAACAAATCCCGGATACAAAAGCAGGAAAATAAGACAACTTTTGGTGATATACGTTCACTTGCAAATCAAGTTCACGTTAACGGAATTTGCAAATGAGTGTATCTCGAAAGGGATGTACCATTTGCTTTTAAATAGAACATCTCCTAAAACTGCGTTGGGTGTGAAGTGAACTTACGCGTGCATGCCAGGAGGTTTACTAGTCTGGTTCAAAAGGCATCAAAGTACCCAAATGCGACTTGGGCTACCATGTGGGAGAAAGTGGAAATTGCCTTATCAACACCAAAACAGTTCCAAACTTGCCAACAGAATGCGCATAACTGCGGTCAACCCTGTCGACAACAGTAGCAATGGCTTCAGGGAATCACATAGGAAGGACAAAGGATTTCAATCTCTCTCCAAAATCTGTGGAAAAAGTCTAGTTATCGGATTAACTTATGGGTCTAGCCCATTCGTTGAAATTTACCAAGAAACCGCATCCTACTTTACAACTCAAATCTATTTATCTTGAAATGTTTGCAATAATGTTGGATGAAATTAGCCCAGATCCAAAATATACCTCCGAAAAATGTTTATAAGTTTCATAGAAGTGTTTCAACCATTAGTTCGCAATTAAAAAAATGTGGGGGACCTCAAACGCTGAGTTTCCATCACCAAGTCCTGAATGTAGGCTGATTCGTGACTTTGGTCATGAAAAAACAACCGTGTTTGTGTTCACCTTTTGCGGTCTTATGAGTCTTTACAAACTGTACGTACCTTTACTCGGCATTTCAGGGAATGCTTGATCGACGTTCAGCGTACGGTTATAGTAACCGCATAAACACCCATGTACTTAAAAAAACACCCACCTAAGTAAGGTGCCAGAAAAGTGAAGAATACCTCACATGGTTTAAGGTATGTGGAAGTAAGAATTGGCCCAAAAATGTCACATGTTATGAACTGTATTCACGAAACCAGCATTCACGGAAAATCCACGCGGCTGACGTTATGTCTCACAAATTTGAGTAATCGAGACTTCCACAAAAGTAATGTGTGAATTGGAACCGCGTGCAGCGCAACCACATTTTTTGTTCAGTCAATTAGTCATAAATCCACTAGCACGAAGGTCTGTTTCAAACGGTTTAACAACTCATCTGCGATGTGTTACGTCAACCTGTTTACTTTAATCCAAAGGCCGAAAAGTTTACAATCGAAAAATGCGAGCCGTTGTTGTGAAGATGAATGACTCAAGATGATCGATTGCAACTGGATTTATAGCGTTATTTGGACCTGATGCTTCTACGAAGCTTAAAAAAGGGTGGAGGCAGGTACACTTGGTGCTAATAAACCCTATTTATTCCCGTCCTACTTAGAAAGTGAGTGAAAGTGAGTCAGCAAATCGTCACATTTTTCCGGAAATTGAAGCCGAAATCGCCACCTAACCCGGTTTGCATTCAGCAGCGCATAACTGTGGTTCATTCTGGACGAAATTCTGGAGTGCGAAAGTATGTTGCGGTCAGAGTTGACCGCTTTCGAAGATTTTTGCAACCGCTGTCATTGGCTAGTTTCCAATCTGCATTGGTTTGACCATCCCGTTGAGGTCTTTAGTATTTACGTTTCTTTGACATTATTGATATGTTCACAACTTGTACTGTATTGTGGCTCGATTTCGTCGTGCTTGATTAGTTGGCTTCATTGCTTTGTTTGCTTGTTCGTACCTCTTGATAGCAAGTTTGGGATCATGCAGTCCGGTAGAAAATCTCCTTAGTTTTTGTTCCACATTATGTTTGTTACCATGCTTGCAACGGATCATGTATGTAACATTGGTTCTCGTAATAACGATATAATAATAATAATAATAATAATAATAATAATAAACTGCGCAGGTGTAACATCTTTTCGGTGCCTACCTGCAGTGCTACGGCCCGCCTCACTCGCACGGTGAGAGTTCTAGCCTTCCATTATTTCCCTGCTGTGAATTCGATGTCGTCACAAACGTTGGTTATTAACTGGCTTGTTCCCTATAATGTTCAACGTTTGTTGATGATACAGGTATTGTCTACTTAGCGGAACCATACTTAGAAATTTATCTGATATCACACTCCATTCCATGCTATGTACTTTGATCCCTAGGATGAGCTTTGAAATTGGGGACCCCACCGAAGCTTCTCGTATTTGCTCATAACATTTTAGATTCAACTCAAAATATGTGGCCGGAAAAACGTTGGACAGCTTGTGGAGGACTTTTTCCTTCAGGGACCCATTTACTATTCCGTGGCCATTGAAAGTTTGGGACCGCTTACCTGTGAACAGTGAGCTCATGTCCAATGGGATTGTTATTTTATCTTGGCCAATACTTGCATTTTTCCGTTTTCCCAAAAATGTCCTGTATCGTTGATTGGATTTTGTGAATCACTGTCAAGATGTAACTCATGCCACAGTTAGGTTGAAAGGTTGGGAGTAGCATGATTGGTTATGGTGGCAGTGCCTCTTTATGTACCTTCAACAGTATCTAGAAGCACAGAATAACCGGGTTTTGAGCTCTTTTCTCTATTAGTCTTCTTCACGAAGTGTTATCTAAGTACGCAAAAGTTATTTACGTTGAAGTTTAAAGGGGACATCTGGGGAGCTTAAAATTTAAATATGTCTGCTGATCTACGTAAACTAGCTCTATGCTCACATCTACAATATGCACTGATCGCATAAGTATTGATTCGACTGATGAAAGCATATACTTTACGTCGTCGAGCGAGAAGACTTACAACATACTATCGTTCTACAACAAAAGGGGGTTAAGAGTGATTGAATGCGAAAATTGCGGGGCCTACCAAAGGGTTGTAACCCCTACTACTGTGTTTCACATGCTGCAAGAAGCTGCATGCGCCTCATCTCTGCAAAGTGCAGAGTGCCGCTACTAGACTGGGTAGGCTCGAATCCTAGATTTATGTTTGCAAACGTGCCGATTGGGGTAGTAGACAAAACTTTCTACCTGTGAAGCTATGTCAGTTATGGTGGCTTAGCCAAAGAGGATATTTATATCCGGATTGGGAAGGCCACAGTAGCTTCCGTGAACCTTGCATCACCTGCAGCTTACCTGTCAAGGGTTGGTGTGCCCCATATTGCTAGTTTAGGTGAGAAACGCGGCTTCTGCGTTCTGAGGACGTTAAAAAAGTTTTCAATGTTTGATCCTTGATGTCTTCAGAGCATTGCACCGAGTCTTGAGGAAACATCGGATCGAATGGTTTTCGGAATAACTAACTCACGATGAATAAACCAGTCATACTTCACAGATTGCACTGGCTTGGCTACGTGCTCCGTATGCCAGTTGACCGATTTCCTCGAAGGACCCCTTTCGCACAACCACACGAAGGGTGGAAACGAGCCAGGGGAGGTTAAACAATGACCTGGCAGCGAAGCATGAAAGCGTTTACTAGCAAACTCACTTTCGCTGGTCATTGCCGTTTCCCTGGATGAGGATTCCGAGACGGCACACATCAGTGGTTAGAGGCATTGTCGGATATGGCCCACTTGCCCGCTCAATAGCGTGAATGCATCCAAAATGCCCCCCCTCTCCCCGAAAAAGCTCGAGTAAATGCGAGCTGCCGTGCCGGTCTCGCAATACCTGGGGCCTAGCAATTGCGCTAACATGAGGCGAGGCTACCCTGGCGGTCATAGGTTGGGCTAAGATGAGTTTAATTGGTTCGGTTTTCCGACCGAACAATGGGAGACGTCCTAGTGGTTAGCCTTGCTACAGGATTTGGGTACGAGTTAAGCAAGATGAGGCAGGGCGAACATCCTTGCAAAGTGCAAGTCAACAATGGAGTTAATATCGTTGATATGGTGCAGCGGAAAAGTAGAAACCAGCTAGTTCGGTGCCGCTCACACATGCTCTGAGTGCTTCGCTAAGGTGTATTAGTTGAGAAGCCAGTCTAGAACGCAAAAGAATACTTCAAGATGTATTCATGAACGAAAACTTCATGTGAAGTTGCTAGGGAAGACCTCACAACACCGGTGCTGAGTCATGTCACCAATTACGTCGACTACTGGTCGACAGTTTTTAACGCAATTCGGATGGAAAAAAGAGACCTGTTTAAATAAAAGCCAACGAGTTGCAAACTGTTGAGGCTGGAATTCGACTGCCTCATAATAGGTCAACTATCCATGAAACGTCAGAAGCAGTATTGCTTTGGTCGGTGTCCACATGAAGTCAGTTGGACGCGAAATGTTCAGGACAAGGAGTGAATCACGTCGTGAGTGGACTATAAATAACACCGGGTTGACACTAAGGCAACATCCTCATACACAGTCGAGAATAACGTTAGCGACACAGTACAGTCAGGGTGCCAGCACAATGAGGACTGGGTGTGTAAACATTCCCATGTCATAAAAACACAACAAATGTGGATAACCTGTCAAAAATGCAACCAATAATAGCGTTTCAACGTAGACACTGTGTTGTGAACAAAGCGAAGGCAGGACTGTAGTGATTGCAAAGAGTAAACCATGTAGAATAACAACCAAAACACTAAAGCAAGACCTGCCAAACTCCTGGAACTTCTGACATCGTTCTATATGACTTGAGATCCCACAGAGTTCATGCCAAATGACAGGTCTTTACAAAGAAGATAACGGTAAAGTAATAACTGCTTGACGTTAACACCCTTGCGAGGCTTCAAAGGGCTCACTTCAAGTCGTTGTGTCAACTGCATCATCTTGGCTTGCAGTGTCTCGGACTCCTGGCGTGCCAGGGAACTTTCAGATCGGAAGGTACGTTCCGCTGCCGTCAACTGCTGAACTTGGGCGCGTAAGTCCACTTCAAGTCCACGTAGGGTATGTAGCTCGGTTCGTAGTTGTTTGAGTTCAACTTCAAGCCTGATTGCAAGAGACAAGCGTATGGGATAGAGTGAAAGGTGAGTGGGGTCAAATAGAAACAAGTGTAGAAACAGCGGAGCATGATATTTGCACAAAAGGAGAAGACCACCAGTTGTATACGTGATCACTAGATAATTCACCAAACACAACCGCAGGGAAAAAACTGTGCCGAGCGAGAATAAACCTTCTGCCAGCGTTCATATCAGTAGTTTGAACAAGTGTACACAGTGTTGTGCCAACTTTATATGGAGCAATAAAATTCCGAACGATAATGATAGGGTGCTGCGCAATAGTCAATATTATGTAGCTTATGTAACGGTTGCTACACCTTGACGTCTTCATCCTATCCTCAATGCTGGATATCTGCAGAAGTCTTCCGAGGCTTGTACTTCAAATTTACTAATGAGGATGAATAAGACAATTCAAATTTACCCTCTAATCGGGCTATTCCAACCCCAAGCAACTTCTACCTAGTGGGGAACAATCTGTCTGAAGCAAAAATGTAGTGGACACACCAAAGCAGCACCTAAAACCAACCAGCCACGAGGGCAGATTATGTCCAATCAAACTGCAGTTCCGAAATCTCGTTAAGAAAGATGATACACAGTGGATGTTACTCGATGTACAATGACTCTGTTCTAGCGTCCCAATAAACGCGTAATCACTGTCGAGGGGAAGGGTAAGTAGGTTATCAGAATGAAGCAAATGTTGTAAATCAGTGCTACGGTGAACAATGACATCGAGGTGCATAATACACACATGGGAAGTGCACTAGGAAAACAGGAATCAAGTTGGATAAGCTACAGTGGTCTCCCCAACAAAAACCAGGAACGGTGTTGAAAACTGAATCAGGGGCTCAGAACATGACTTCCATCCGTATGTCGCAAAAACTGTGGAGAGGAGTGAATACACCAAGCCCTATGTCACCAGACGCAGTGTTTTCCCCATTGAATGCTCTTCGTCAAAAATATTACCTTTCAGAATGGACTTCCATATCGATTTTACGTATACGATTTAGAATCAGTGTCCGATACTGAATATCGCAGATGGTGGCGACGTGAACAGGGAACCGGAAAGTCAACCTGATTATAGAGTCAGGACTGGTAGAATTGCGGCCCAAATAGGATTGAAGCGTTGAGCTGAATTCCATGGGACGAGTTCCAAAAACTATTAGACTGCGGAAGTTGCAAGTCTCCTCTTCCGTCACAAAGAGACTGGACCTTACCGTGGTGTGGTGTGCGCACCTCAGCGACTCATTGAGCTATACTGGGAGGGTGTCCCAGGGACAGAGTATCTCATAACAGGTTGGTCAATGGTTAGGGGTCTGACAAACACAGTCTCCTGTCCCTGCAAGTTGGGGGTTGGAACATGTGACGACTTGTTCCGTAGAAACGGTAATGCATTTACATTTCCCGCCAAACACCGCTTCCTTGCTGTAAGGTTTTTGAGTCAAAGGCTTTGATTGAGGACCCTAATCGTCCTCCTGTCTAGGACTGGGCGCCCCGACAGTATACCAGCCCACGTGCAACCATGAAACTTACAACTAACAAAAATCTCTTGCCACATCAGCTGTCGCGTGGTGCCATTAGCCGAGTCGCCTTACTCGCTGCATATATCATCATCAACGACAGCATGACATCAGTGTTCAACACCAATGCTTCACTGCCGTACAGCCATGACTTATTTGAAAGCCTTATTGTAAAGAAAAGAATAAAGGTGGATGGGGGAGGGACTTAGTGCTAGCTTAACACAATCATTCCGAGGTGCCTACACCTCCAGACATTCACTCAGGCAATCTGGACAGAAACTGACAACAAGAACGCCACTGACATCGGTTGGCAGCCATATCCTGTAGTGTCTCCAACCAGGCACAGTGAGGATCACGCGGTCCCCATCCTGGAAGGCGAGTAGAACCCAAGCGTTTCTTGATCTCCTTCATACTCCTCTGACAAGTCAAGGGTTGGCCACCTCTCTGTTTACGCCACTCCGAATTGGGTATAGAAAATAGTACTCTTTTCGGTAAACGATGATTCGGCATGCGTAAAACATGTCCCAACCAACACAGCTTCTGGTGCTGGACACATTCTTCAATGGAAGTACCCGTTACACAACCGAAAACACGCTTTCTAACCGCCTCGTTACGGATTCGCTGACACCAACCCACACGAGCTATGGATCTCAGACAACGATTGTCGAACACCTGAAGACGTCTCAGGTCCGCTGCTCGAATAGGCCAAATCTCACAGCCATACAACAAAACAGCCCGTACTGTAGCTTGATACACACGCCCCTTCAGATTCAGGGATA